GAGATATTTTAAGAAACAGTAACACACTAATGGCCTGAGAGATCGGGGTGTGGAGATCATATCATTGGGGGCAGGTCCCGAAATCTCTACGGGCCACTACAGTGGTGATATCATGGCCTTGTGATAATTTAAGTGACTCATCATGAACCACTAACCGTAATACGGACTTTTGAGACTTACTTTTATTTCCTTTTATTAAAAAGGATGTTCGGTTTCGAATGACATGTTCAGACCGTATACTCTTTAAATTGTTTCAATTTTATGAAATTATATCCTATTGGGCATTTTGCTCACTTTTTCCTCTATTTTCAATGTTTTAAACCTCTCAAGAGTTAGCAGTTTAGATTTACAGCATGGCAAGTAGATGCTAATGGATTGAAGGCGCGAGATTCAAAGTGGTTCGTTTGTTCTGAATTTACAATTTTTAATTCTGAGATGTACAGTATTTCTGTATATAAACTGTATTAATCGACATTGTCCTAGATTTGTACTATTTTCCTTAGATTTTATGGATTGTTTAAAATATTGTTTGTAAAAGAAAGACTCCGGAGTAATATCTTTTGACATTTATGTATTTATTTTCGTAGTATTCGTTAATCAATCTAGTTTAATTAAGTTAATTTTTTTTAATTATATCCCAATAATCACGGTTTCATCTTTGGGGTCATGACATTACAAAATATACCACAATAACATCATTTAAGTTTTGTGTATTGAGCAAAATTATACTTATACTTTTGTGTATTTCATTCAATATCATTGGATTTTGTGACAGTTTTGTTGTTTTTTGTGTATATATTTGTAATTTTTATGGATTTTTTAATTTTTAACTATCTTTAACTGTTACATTCTCTGCAATAGTTTATTTTTATTGACATATGTCAATCTAAACTTAAAACTTATTGTGTTCTTGTAAAGTGCCCTTTCATCTTTCTCTTAAAACTCTTTACTCTCTCAACTTGTAAAAGTTTACCATGTATATCCTAACTATTTTATTATTAATATTTTTTATAGTTGTAAAATATGCATTATAAAATAATTTCTCTAGCTATTATTTTTTAAGGAGTTTCGTCTTTCTCTTTAAACTCTTTACTCTCTCAACTTGTAAAAGTTTACAATGTATATCCTAACTATTTTATTATTAATATTTTTTATAGTTGTAAAATATGCATTATAAAATAATTTCTCTAGCTATTATTTTTTAAGGAGTTTCGTCTTTCTCTTTAAACTCTTTACTCTCTCAACTTGTAAAAGTTTACAATGTATATCCTAACTATTTTATTATTAATATTTTTTATAGTTGTAAAATATGCATTATAAAATAATTTCTCTAGCTATTATTTTTTAAGGAGTTTCGTCTTTCTCTTTAAACTCTTTACTCTCTCAACTTGTAAAAGTTTACAATGTATATCCTAACTATTTTATTATTAATATTTTTTATAGTTGTAAAATATGCATTATAAAATAATTTCTCTAGCTATTATTTTTTAAGGAGTTTCGTCTTTCTCTTTAAACTCTTTACTCTCTCAACTTGTAAAAGTTTACAATGTATATCCTAACTATTTTATTATTAATATTTTTTATAGTTGTAAAATATGCATTATAAAATAATTTCTCTAGCTATTATGTAAAGTGCCCTTTCATCTTTCTCTTAAAACTCTTTACTCTCTCAACTTGTAAAAGTTTACCATGTATATCCTAACTATTTTATTATTAATATTTTTTATAGTTGTAAAATATGCATTATAAAATAATTTCTCTAGCTATTATTTTTTAAGGAGTTTCGTCTTTCTCTTTAAACTCTTTACTCTCTCAACTTGTAAAAGTTTACAATGTATATCCTAACTATTTTATTATTAATATTTTTTATAGTTGTAAAATATGCATTATAAAATAATTTCTCTAACTACTATTTTTTAAAGAATTTTTCTGGTGTGCAAACATATTGATAGGATCAGTTTTTTAATTGTTAGATTTGATTAAAATTATATTAAATTAAAAAAAATATGTAAAACGATTAATTTTTTAATCCAGATTTAACGATTAAAAATAAAAAATTATTTATATTTTAATTTTTACTGGTCCAACAAAAGAAAGTTCTAATTTTCAATGCACAATATGTATTACATCTTGAAATTTGGAAGTATTTCGTCATAAGTGTGAATGTGATATGGTAGTAAGGACAATTTTTAATAAGTTAACCAAAAAAAAAAAAAAAAAAGAAACCATTTTTGGTTGCAAGCGTAATAATACTGATGGACTCCCCAGCCAAATTTCAGGAAACTTACGACGCAAGTACCAATAAGTATCCGAAAAAAAAAGGAAAAAAAAAAACAGAAAATTTGAGACGCAGGTAATACGTTAGTATAACACGTAAGCAATAATCTCGACCGTCCAATATCAGTGTGCGCACCATCACAGCCGTCCATATGTGGTATTAACCGACTTAAGCTTAAACCGAGTCCTATATATAGAGATTAAAGATCACCCACAATAGTATTACGTGATCAAGTTCATTCTTCTCTCCCAGACGTCTCTCTTCTGGTAAATTCCAATCCCTCCACTTCCTTTTCAATTTTGGTCTTGAAATCTGTGGTATAAAATTGCTTGTTCTGTAATATTTGTTCTGGTACTGAAAAAAGACACAAGGAACAAATTTATTTTTAAACGATTCATTGAGTTTTGGTTTTTTTCTTTTTTCTTTTTCCTAGGTAGGGATTATGTAGCAAGAGTAAAATATTATCATGTATTTTACATTATCGTGTATTTATTCCCTTGTTTTGGAATGGAGAATATATTGAACTTTTTCATTCATTGATTGGAACCTGTTTAATTAAGTTCTAGACCATATATTCTCCAAGAGAATATCTTTTTTAGGCCATGGTTATCTTAGAACTTGTGGGGTTTTTTTTTTTTTTTTTTTTTTTTTTTTTTTTTTTTTAAATAATCAACTTGTTGAGATATTATATTGAGAATTTCATGTTTGTATATGAAAAATACACGTACTGAACAGAATGCAGTGTACAAATCATAAATAATACTGTAGCGAACCATGAATCATGATTCAAATCAGAGAATGAATCCCTCTACCAAACATCCTTAAAATTTTACGAAATTTTAACGGTTCAGAATTGTATCTTATTAGCCTAGCTAGGGTTACTAACCCTTTTGCTTCTATTGCGTTTCTTTTCAGTCACTCAAATTGCAAACAAAGCTTTTCACTCCCAATCCAATCTTTCCCTCTCAAGCTTTCCAATCAAACAAAAGTCTACTTTCATGGTTGATCAAGACTACGAGATCCCGAGCTCTTTCGACCCATTTGCCGACCCCGAAGTAGCCGACTCCGTCCCCTTCAGCGGCCGAGGCAAGGAGTACTGCATCCACATCCGGGTCCAGCAAAGGAATGGGAAGAAGTGCCTGACCACGGTTCAGGGGTGTAACAAGGACTTGGACTTGGACAAGGTCCTCAAGAGTCTCAAGAAGGAGTTTTGTTGCAACGGCAATGTGGTCCAAGACAAAGTGCTGGGGAAGATAATTCAGCTCCAAGGTGATCAGCGCAAGAACGTCTCTAAGTACCTTGTCAAGGCTGATATTGTCAAGAAAGAACATATCAAGATTCATGGTTTTTGAATCTTTTGGTTCATCATCTATTAATGGGGGTGTCTTATTTTTGGAATTTATAATAAAGTTTTAAATCTTTTTAAAAGTATAGGAGTAGTAGCTTTGTGACTAAGTACTTTCTCTCTCTTTGTTTGTTTTGGTTTTTTATTTATGGAGATTTATGAGGAATGTAGTTGGGATTTCATTGGTAATAATAAGAGTGGATGTTTTTTGTGTTTCAAAACAAGGATTACTTTTGCCTCTACTTTGTGTTTGCTTATATTATTACCTTTCTTTGTGTGCTAATAAGGTTTTGAGAGTTTCTGTCGACAGTTTTAGAATAATGGACTACCATTAGTTTTATATATATTTTTAATTTAATATGATTTTGATCAGATTAAACAGTCAAAAACTGAACCTATGAGTAGGTCAGCCACAAGATCCCTAAGATTTTATGTGTAACCGGAAAATTTTTTTTATTGTCTTTGAAATTTAATATTTTTGGCTTTAGTTTATATGTTTCCATTCTTGGCCCCTTTCTAATATCATGTTGTATAAATTTTTTAAATGATATAGAATTTTAATTGACGTGGCATGAATAAAGAGATATTTTAATATTGTTCTATATCCTTTTAATATTATTGGTTTTGACTCATGATTTATTTTTATACAATACAAAATCAAATATCTGTCTTCCAAAACTCAAATCCCACCCATTCTATCATATCTCATACGTTTAATCTAGTGGCTACTGGCACGGTTATATGGACACATCCCTCGATTTGGAGTTGGTGTCTTGTTCCATAAACGACATGTCGTTCGTCTTGAAATGGCATACTGTTTTCAATCTTCTTGTCGTTTTATGGACGGCAAATGATGTTTACTTTAGAAAATACCAAAATATATGAACTTCAAAAAAAAACAAAAAACAAAAAAACAAAAGAGATTCTCCGTTTTTGGCGCTTTAATTTACAAATGTCACGTTGCTTCACACTCATTTGATGCCTAATGTTTCTTCTACATGTTTTATAAGTGACCTTTCTTCCATAATATTTTCTGAGATTTTCTTTGAAAAAAATTTGGTAATAATAAAGCGAGAATTATACATAAAATGGTATTCGGTGTCTCTAAACGTCAAATTATATTATAATGTGATTAAATAGACTAGGCTGCTGGTTCAAAAAAGTCACCATAAATGAAAACTTTTCTAATAAAGAATAAAAAAAATCATATCAAAACTATTTTAATCAATTTTCTGCCAACTTGTACCTTTTAATATAAGATTTTATTCCCAACTACGGAATTACCCTTTGGGTGATGATTTATAACGGCTAATGAAAAATGATATAAAATTTTACAATTATATTCTACTTGTGATATATAAGACGTACCATCAATAGGAAAAAAGTGCATTTTTTTGAAAGGAGAATTTTTTTTTTTATAAAATATAAGAATATTTGTAAAACATAATTTTTCAGTTTTATTAAATTGATATACTTTAATTAATTCGTTTGATATGATTGTTAAAAATCATGCTTAGCAATGGAGTTTTTTTTTTACACATTATATTACAAAATTCTGTTTATAATACTTAATAGTGCTTCAACAAAAACAACCCAAGCACCATAATTTCATAATTAAGAGAAGATTGTGTATCACGCATGAACAATATTAGACACCATACCATTATAAAAAGCGAATTATACAACATAAAAGCACTAGAATTTAGAGGAGGATATTAGCTATGAACAATGTTAGAGGACACCATCAGCATTCAGCACTAAATATAGTTTAGTTCGCTGATTCAAGTTTTTAATTTGAGTTGAGATGTGACTTTATGTAAGAGTTTTTTACTGTAGTTAAAAAGTTAGATGTGACTATTTTTAAAAAAATTTTACTGTAACAAAACTCGAATCGGTAAAATGAACGGGGCCTACAGAATCCCACCGCATAAGAAGACCATAAAGCACCCGAATTTAGAAGAATAATACATTGTTATAAACAATATTAAGGGACGCTATCATCATCTAGCACAAACATTTACATTTATGAAACAAAAGAATGTTTAGAATCATATCACTAATAAAAAAATGTACTCAACTTGTAAAACCTATATTGCAAGACCTATCACCGATGCTCAACATCAGTGCCACGTAACATTGTTCTATAAGAAGGTGGATTCCAAAGCACTAACATCACCAATTTGGGTGCTCCAAAACAGTTGATGTACTTATCCAAAGGCGGCCAAGGGAGCTCCCCCTTGAAGTGGCCCCCACCCAAAGGTCATAGTCAAGACCTCACCCCAAAACCAGAAGCAGCAGATAAACTCTGGCATTTCACTTCGCAGATTTGAGTTTTTAATTCGAGTTAAGATGTGATATTTTTTAATAATTTTTTATTGTAATAAAAAAATTTAAATGTGACATTTTTTGAAAATTTTTTACTATAAAAACTTAAAATTAAAAATTTAAATCGATAAAATGAACGAGACTTTAAACTCAAAACCCCACCGGAGGAGCGTAGCAACAGGTTTCCATTTCTTTCTGGATTCTTTCCTTGGGGCCCACCTTGTCCCCATTTCCTTTCCCTTTCTTTGGAAGCCCACTCTAATGAACTGTTGTCGTTTTTGGTGCGTCCAACTTACGCGGTTCTTCTCCTCTTCCTCTTTAGCTAAAGAAGGAATAACATTAATAATGTAATAAAACTAACGTCATTCTCTCCATCTCAACCGCCCATTCTCATTCTTCACTCAATCTCAACCCTACACGTGTTATTTATTAACCGACTCATAAGGTTTCTCAAAACTCAACCATGGTTTAGGAATTTGTGACCACCACTCAAACCGCCCTTGTCCTTGTCTTCCTTCTATATATAGACCCCCATCACAAACTCCCTCATTTCCTCATCGAATTCCTGATCATCTTCGTCAATTACGAGGTAAATTCCCCTCCTAATCTCTCAACAAAGCCTTTAGTTTTCTTTTTCATTGATTTTTTGATCATGGGTTTGCGTATGATCTTTTTTTTGAATGTTAAATTGATATTTATTTAGGAGTTTTGACTCTTTTTTTTTTTTTTTTGGTATTAAGAACTGTTTCCTTGTTTTGGCGTGATAAAGATTTGACCTTTCTTTCTTTAGTTCATTGATTTAGAACCTGTTTTGATTTCTGGGTTTTTGTTTCTACGGCGAAAGTAAAATGAAGATTGGTTTTTTAGATTGGATCTTCTCGCAAAGAAGATATCTTTCTGCAGAACTTTCCTTGTTTTGGCATGGAAATGAACGACTTTGTTTTTCAGAATACTTTTTATGGGGATTTTTTTATTTAGAACTTGTGTATTTGGTTATGAATTCCTTATTCCCGTCATGCGTGTATATATATATATATATATATATATGTTGTGTAGAGATTCTATAGCAAATGGCAAAATTAGATCTTGTTTGAGTTCAATAATCCCTTTTCAAACATTTTCTGGATATCAAAAGAATTGAAAATCATGTTTCAAGCAGATTTCTTATAGAACTTTGTTTCAAAGATTTATATGTAGTCGGCAAAAGGGAACTTGTGTGTTTTGTTTAGGATCTGTTTTTATTGATTGGTTATATTGTGAGAAATTGTTCGTCTTAAAATTTTATATCTTTTTTGTTTGAAGAATTAGTGAATTAATTCGATATCAGAGTAGATATTCTGACTCAAACCCTTGTAATTGTTGTCTCTAAATTTGTTTCTAACTTTGTTGTTTGCGTTTTTAGCATTGATTTCCTTTCAGATCTTGCGCGCTTAACCAATTATTCACCGCGCTTTCGGTTGATTCACTTCGGTTTCCTTACCAAGCAAAGTACATGGTTGATCAAGACGTCCAGATCCCAACTACCTTCGACCCTTTCGCGGCCATAGACTCAGATGCCCCCGGAGCCAAGGAGTATGTTCATATCCGCGTTCAGCAACGGAACGGAAAGAAGTGCCTGACGACGGTGCAGGGGCTGAAGAAAGAGTTCAGCTACGAGAAGATCCTTAAGGATCTCAAGAAGGAGTTCTGCTGCAACGGCAATGTGGTCCAGGACAAGGAGTTGGGCAAGATAATTCAGCTCCAAGGCGATCAGCGCAAGAACGTCTCGCAGTTTCTTGTTCAGGCTGGTCTGGTCAAGAAAGACCATATCAAGATTCATGGTTTTTGAAGAACAAGAAGAAGAAGACTTAGGTCATGTTGTTATGGTTTGTGCGCTAAGCAAATTATTACATTAGAGAAGTGTCTATATGTGGGATTTGTAGAGGCTTCTCATATACTTATAGTAGTACTTTTTTTGTTTTTACTCTCATGTTGGTTTGATATTATGGAGATTTCAAAGGAATGTAGGGGGATTTCCTTGTTAATAAAAATGGATGGCTTTCAAGTTTTAAAATGGATTGCTTTTTCTCTTACATTAGAGAAGTGTCTATATGTGGGATTTGTAGAGGCTTCTCATACTTGTAGTAGTACTTTTTTTGTTTTTACTTTCATGTTGGTTTGATATTATGGAGATTTCAAAGGAATGTAGTGGGATTTTCTCGTTAATAAAAATGGATGGCTTTCAAGTTTTAAAATGGATTGCTTTTTCTCGTGTTGTGTTTTTGTGTGTACTCATTTGTTTACTTTCTTTTCTTGTGTGCTTTAGAGAAGAAAATGCTAGATTTTGTGCTAGGATCATGGATTCTAATTCTATAGGCTATTTAGTGCTCTTATGGTTTCAAAAGAAGAAACTGAACTTAGAGTTTTTAATTCGTTGATTTGAGTTTTAATTTAAGTTGAGATATGATTTTATGTGAGAATTTTTTATTATAATAAAAAAATTAAATATGATTATTTTTTAAAATTTTTTACTGTAATAAAATTTAAATTTTAAATTTAAATCGGTAAAATAAACGGAGTGTTTTAATCTCATTTTTTTCATCATTTTCAGTTTTCATCTCAATTTGAGCATGCATACGAGTGTAATTCTATGGAATCTGTAAAATTAAAAATTAACTTTTTTTAGCTTTTTTTTTTTTTTTTTTACTACAAGCAAATTCCGTTAATCTCTAATGGGACACCTAAAAAAAAATATGAATTGTCTCACTTTGCTTTTACAGTACGAAATAACACACCTCCTATTTTTGCTTTTACAGCTATGTTTATCTTAGGATAATCTTGATAAATTAGTATGGATCAAAGAGTATATAAGTCAAGATTTTTATCATTTATTTTTGGATTCATAATTTTTTAGTTAAATAATTATACTAATAAAAAGATATTTATATAAAGTAAAGAATAAAGTTTCATACTGATGTAATCTTAAAGGTAATTTCTTCATTTTTTTATCGCGAATAAATTCAACCCTGATACCTTCGTAATTAAGGTGTCAATTTTTTAATGATGTTAATCACGTTTATTTTTATTGAGTGGTTCGTAAGTGATCAAAATAGGTGAAAAAAAGTCTTTTACTAACTAATCATGTCACATACATATTAGAACCATCAAGAATACAAATATCAAGTTGCAATGCCGTGAATTACTTTCCGTTAGCAATAGCTCTTTTGTTTTTATTACCAAACATACAATTAATGCTGAACCTCTGGTTGCTTAGCCAATGTCCCAGCAAGATCTCCATCAAAATTAATGCTACAAGTTAACAAATATATGGCCGTGTTTAGAATTCATTCAGTTTTTATTTTTCACGTTTTAAAAAATAAAAATACTTTTAAAACGGCGTTTAACGCAATAAAAATAAAAAATGAAAACGATTTTTTAGTTTAGTATAAAAAGAGAGAGAAATGAAAAACGACTTTTAGTCGTTTTTTTATTTTTTATTTTCATTTTGTCCTCTCTCAAGCAGAGAGAGAAAGAGAGACATTAATGGGTTTTTTTACACTAAAAAGAATCTCTTGATAAAACTACTAAACGCATTTTCAAAAATAATTTCTATCTGAGATTGAAAACGTTTTCAGTTTTATCTTCATACAAAAAATAAAATCATTTTAAAACGAGTTTCAAACGCGCTCATGTCTCTACTCAATTATGAATGGTCTTTACTTCGTAATGGAAATTTTAAAATCATATCACGTAAAGAGGCAATAAAATATATAATGATTTATTTCATAAATACCTCCTCAATTTTGTACCTTGTTTCAACACATATTCAAATTTTGAAAAATGATTCATTCCACCAAATATGAAAAGTGGTTCAAAACACCCCTAAACTAATGTTATTTCCTAAATGTCACATGAACTATTCATTTTATGTCAATATATCAAGGACAAGTTCACACAAAAGTAATATTTTAAGGGACAAGATGATTTAAAATCAATAGTTTGAGGGGGCCATTTATAAAAATATAAATAGTGTTATGCCATCATTTTGTTAATTTTATAAATAACGGGGGCAATTCGAGAGAAAAAAAACCCTTCTCAAGAAAAAAACCCTTCTCGAAGTTCACTAAGCATGTTGAAACATGATACAGAGTTCATAGGGCCAGTTAATCCAATATGTAATTGTCAGCTTGTGATGTATCCCCAAGATTGAAGAACATAGGAGGCCTTCACTTAGTAGCTCAAGTCTAGAAAGGGATTTTCAGTTCAACACAAACACATATATTTCTATTTCATCAAAAAAAAAAAAAAAAAATTCACACATATTTCTACATTCCTTCTTCAAGTATCAACATATTGGAAATTATTATAAATTCATTGAAACAACAAACTAATTTAAACGATAGTGTGACTTGTTATGCACAAACTCATTGAAGTCGAAGTCCAAAATCAAATCCAAACTGGAAAATGTTTCCCTATATTCAATGGCATAATACATCTCTCAACTATAGATTTGTCACTGAGATGGCTCAAAGGCCTCTCTGTGAACTTATGCAAGTGTTGTCTTTGGAAGTGAGAATGGTAAAATTACAGATTGATATATTAAAAGAGCTTTCCCTGATGCTGCGTCCCACTCCTCATCATTGCACAGAATTCCGAATAGTTGATCCTTCCATCCTGTTGAGCACAAACAGAAGGTATATGAACATGCATGATAATTTTAAAAGGCTGAACTGCATTTGAAATGAGAGAGATTGCGTAGAGATTTGGCGGGAGGAACCAGTTTCTAACTCGGGCTCACAAAGTGGGTTCGGGGGTTTCTTGGTTTCGGGAGAAAAGAAAAGAGAGAAATTGACTTACATTGTCCGTGTCAACTTCGGAAATTATTTCTCTTATTGTGGCTTCGTCACCCATTCCATAATCTTTCATTGCTGTTTCTAGTTCATCTCTAGTGATAAACCTGTAACATAACAATAGTAACATCAACGCGTAACAAATGTGCAATGAAGCCTAACTGAAGGAACTATACTAGAGGGCACCGGCGGTGTTTAACACCACACTCTTAATAAAGAGTGGGTCCTACAATATGGATCCATAGATGGGACCCATTCTATATTATTTGTGGTGTTCAACACCAGTGGAGTGGTGCCCCCAAGCATTTGAAACGAAAGGCGAGGTACTTAATTCATACTAGTATACTAATTTCTCAGATTCTTTTTGGCGTTCCCAAATCTTGGGAGTGAAACTTGAAACTAGGAGAGTGAAAGTCTTATATCCATTAAGTTTAAGTGCCAGTGAATGTGACGTCAATCAAATTGCAAACATAAACGAAGCCACTAACAAATTCCAAAATCCTCCGTGAAAAGGTTATCATCTTAATTCTCTCCTTTCTTTTTCTTTTTTTTTTTTTTGAAGATTTGAAGGGAAAAATCCGACATAATTTCTCGTTAATGAATCCAGTATGCCGAAAAACGATTCAGTAGGCACTTAGGGAAGTTGCTTTGGGATTGTAGAGGCATTACTTTTTACTCTTTTCTAGGCCTAAACAATTGAAAAGCCTAAAAGATTGTAAGATCTTTGAGAGACCAGAAGAAAAAACGTACCCGCTACTGTCTTTATCAAAAAATTGAAAAGCTTTGAAAAGATGTTCCTCTCTCTCTAGCCTGTGTCTATGCATTGTTGCAGTTATGAATTCAATGTAGTCAATTGTTCCATTTCCATCCACATCAGCCTGCAAAGAAAAACAAAATTGCAGAATAAGCTTACAATGCAAAAGAAGTATACCATAGATCTAGGATGGTGAGAATCTAAATCCATCCTACCGCTTCCATGAGTTGCTTGACTTCAGTCTCCGTCAGCTTAGAACCAAGTCGGGCCAATCCTGACTTCAGTTCGTCATAGGTGATAGTGCCGCTGTTGTCAGTGTCTATGTTGGTGAACATGGCCTTCAGCCCTTGGATCTCTTCTTCAGAAAGATTTTCGGCGATAACCTGATCACATTCATTATTTACTCTATTACATGAAAAATCTTGGTGATTTATTTCCTATATGTTGATGCATGACCTTTAAACTGAGGTACCTTGAAAGCAAGTTTTTTCAGCTTGTTCATTGCTCGGAATTGCTTCATCCTAGAAAGAACTGCGCTATCAATTGGTTTGTCTGGTGCACCACCTTCTCTTATCCATGGATGCTCTAAACCAAATCATCCAAACGCAACTTTTAGTCATAAAAAGAATTTTGCCATAAATAAGTCAACTGCAAGGATGCCAATCTAACATGACGTATAATGAATTCGATTTAAAGCAATAGCTTTGTTCAAACATGTTTTAGATTATAAGAAGCCACAGTTTTAAACAACTGAAAGCAACATAAACCGTGCGTACAAGGATGTTAATTAAGTTGTTGTGTGTGTTTCTAAGTTCATTTGTTTAGATGTGTACCAAAAATTGAAAATCAAAAGGAATTGGTTTGTACACTGGGATGCAATGAAAGGTCTTTTTACCTAGAACATCAGACGGAGTAATTCGCTTCTTAGGATCCTGCTTCAACATTTTGCAGATCAGGTCCTTGGCACTGCTTGAGATGCTTGGCCAGGGGTCACTAACAAAGTCAATTTCTCCTTGCAATATGGCATCAAAAATGCCCTTCTCAGTTTCTGCGAGCCGTAAGATATCAAGAGTCATTATTCAAAAACATAGAATCATCACTAGATTGATAAAAACAAAATAGAGGATTTGTGTCTTTACCAGCCCAAAATGGGGGTACACCACTGAGTAAAATATACAATATAACTCCTGCACTCCAAATATCCATCTCTCTCCCGTATTTTCGTTTCAGTACTTCAGGAGCAACGTAGTAAGCACTCCCAACGATATCACGATACACCTTTCCTGCAAAGAGTTTATCACACAAGTAAAGAAATTAACGAAAGAAAACGAGTCAAAGGCACAATTATTCAGATTAGACAGTGCACAATAGCCGGAGATTCCTATGCGCAGTAATCGATATTACATAAAACATAGTTCTTACTAGATTTGAATATGAAACTTAGCATCTTAAGATGACAATTCGAGTCCAATTTCAATATCGAACCAAAACAAAACTCTCCATTTGAGTTATCCAAAGAGGTTAATGACACTAGATTTGAAAATGAAATTTGGCATCTTAGGATAATAATTGGAGTCCAATTTCAACATTGAACTGAAAAAGATACTTCATTAGAGTGATCCTAAGATTTAGTACAAGCTGTTGATAAAATATCACATTTTCTCATCTCCAACAAGAATATCCGAGGAAAGTACAAAACCAATCAAGCAAGTGTTGAGAAAGTCTAATTTCGCTTAATTATGGTTCAAAAAGCCATAATCATCCCAGCTGCAAATATAACTTTCTACCTCTATGTTGTGAACAAAAATGCTTAGAAATAGTCATACTTTTCAATCAACTTTAAGCAAATGATTATAAATAATTCCCACAAAATCACCAAAAAAGGGGGGGAAAATCAAGCTATACAAAAAAACATACCATCTTCAATGAACACTGAGAGCCCAAAATCAGTGGCCTTCAAAAGGGCATTCTCCTCCTTACTAGAGAGCAAGAAATTCTCAGGCTTCAAGTCCCTATGCATCACCCCCATGAAATGACAATTATGGACAACTTTCACAATGGCCCTACAAATAGAAGCAGCGGCTCTCTCACTATAATGGCCCTTTGCAATAATCCTATCAAAAAGCTCCCCACCAGCACAAAGCTCCATCACAAGATTAACAGATTGCTTGTCCTCATAAGCCCCTTTGAACTCCACAATGTTGGGTTGGCCACTCAAGTGCTGCATAATCCGAATCTCCCTCTTCATGTCCTCCTTGTCGTTTTTGCTCACAAGCTTCCTCTTTGATATTGACTTGCAGGCGTATAAACGACCAGTGGAATTCTCAGTGCAAAGATAAGTCACCCCAAACTGGCCTCTGCCCAGCTCTTTTCCGAATGTGTAGTGGTTCTTAATGTCCTCAAATGGCTTCCCTAGGATTGTGTCTGTTCTCTGGATGTGTTTTGGGCTCCGGATTTGGACAGATGGCTTGTTGAGCACAAAGGGTTGGTATTGGTCTTGGTGGTGATGGGGTTGGTGGTCTTGGTGGGAAACTACAGGTCGTTTTTCAGGTACTTGGTTGTCGTGGGATTGTGGAACTGAGGGTTTGGATTGGTGGATAATTGGATCATGGGTCTTCTGGTAATGACCCCCACCATTGTATTTTGGCTTTATTTCTCTACTTTTGCTTGCACAACAACCCATCTCTTCTTCTTCTTCTGAAATTTACAATCTTGGGTGTTGAAATTCCAGTTTGGATCAGAAGAAACTTGGGTTTGACTTGGTAAAGATTGAATCTTTAAGATAAAGAGTGAAAAAAGTTGAGATCTTTGGATCAGAAAGTTGGATGGGATGATTTTTTTTTTTTTTTTGAGGAATATGAATTTGATGCAGAAAGACCCAGATGGGGACCTTTTTTCTTCTTCTTTTTTTTGTTGGGAAAGAAGCAAATTAAGTTTGGTTTGGAGTTTGGAAAAGAGTACTTGTTATTATTGGGAAAATGAAGCAGAGTTCATGGGAACAGAAAAGTCTGAGAAGAAGAGAGGATAGAATAGAATAGAAGTTGGTCAACCATTAAATTAAGTGGGATTGTTTAACTTTTGAGGGATAAGAAGAAAGAGAGAGGAAGTGGGGGGAATCTTTTCTAGTTTGAGCCAGGACAGACAGTGGTGAGAAAAGAAGAGTTATCAACAGTTTCGTGTTTTTCCCTGTTCTTTTCTGGAAGGTTGTCTGAGTCGACACGCTTAATGTATTAGAACCTGTTCGATTCGAATTTTTAATTTTTATGTTATTTTATTCATATTTAATGATGTAAAATTTGACATATTATATGACGTATCAAAGGAGATCCTTTCTTCTCTATATTAGAAACTTTCATAGGAATTTTTTTGCTAGGTTCTCGTAAATTAATGAAACGTTTGGTTTATGGATTAGAATTATGTAATTAGAATTATTTTTTATTTATGTGTATTTTTAATAAGAGAAAATACTGTAACAAACTATGAACTATGATTCAAATTATGATTTGAATTCTCTAACTAAACATCTCATAAATTACTAAAAAATATATATTTTTAACTGTCCAATCAATATTTAAAAACTCTTTATTTTAAATATTTTTTTAATTTAATGTAATTTTAATCAGACTATATTTGTAGAGAAGTCTTGTAAGAAAAACTCTCAACTTTCACGGTATGAATTTGTCTTTTTCCTATGAGTAAGAATTGGGGTTTTTTACTATTGGGTTAGTTTTTAAAACGGACTATTTGTGAATAAGAGTAGAGATGTCAAATGGGCCGGGTTGTCCATGGACGGCCCGGCCCGGTACGGTATTATTACGGGCCGTGCCGGTCCGGCACATGTGATGGGCTAGGGTTGGATCTTAGCTTCTCAGCCCGCGGCCCATGCCCCGCCCTAGCACGTGAAGGCCCGCGGCCCGGCCCAAGCCCGTATTCGGCCCTTATTCGACCTGGCTTAGGCCCGCGAAACGGCCCTCAGCCCGCTCGAAATGTGACCGTTGGACCCTTCGCAGGCCTCCCGTTTGGCCCGTGACGGGCCTCCTGTTAGGCCCGTCACGGGCTGACCGTTGGGCCCACGAAGGGCCCAACGGTCACAATTCGAAAATCCCTCAAAAAATCTCCTATAAATACCCCTTAATTCCACCCTAAATCTCACACAATAATTCACTCTCAACTTCTCATCTCACTCTCATTATATCTCTCATCTTGTCTCTTTGATTTTGATTCTAAGTTTTTTTCTTGCGATCACTCATTTTCTTGCTCTTTTATTTACAAAGTTTAAGTTCAATCAATTTTCAGAAAATGACCGCATCAAACTTCCCTGATTTCACTGCTCTTTCCTAAGCTTGGTGATGAGCAATTTTTTGAGGATGAAATGATGCCTCCCAACCGCACCCCTACTGAACCAGAAAATGCTCCGGTAGATAATGCCTCAGTGCACAACGAGGAAGCTGGAGAACGCACCAGGGAAAAAAGACCGTGAACTTCTCCTGCATGGCAGCATTTCACCGAAGAGCCCCGACCAAATCCAAAAACAGGTAAAATAGAAATTCGTGCGGTATGTAAGTACTGTAAAAAACACTTTTTCTAATAAAAATGGTGTGGGTACTGGTCATCTGGATAGACATTGGAAAGTATGTCTACCGTTGCACTAAGGTGGGAGTGTAGACTCCCACCAACAAACACTATCACTCACATCACAGGGGTTGCAAAATTTTACATACGATGCACAAAGTGATCGTGAGGCACTAGCTTAATTTCTAGTTAGTGCCGAATTGCCTCTTTCTTTTGCAAATGATACGTCGTTCAAAATATTCATCCAAACAGCCTTCTGCCCACAATTTAAACTGGTAAGTAGAAACACAACTCGTTCTGATTGTATGAAAGTCTTTTATGCAATGAGACAATCTCTTGTTGATAATTTTATGACTTTTAATGCTATTGTATCTTGCATTTCTGATCTATGAGAGGGGTGCAATAAAATTGTATTTTGCAAGTCTGAGATTGAAAATATTTTCATTTTTATTTTTATACAAAAAATAAAATCATTTTAGAACAAATTCCAAACGCGTCCGTAGTGTTTTGAATTTTTATTTGTTTATTATATAAGTCTGAAAAATATAATTTGAATAATCATTGTCGAAAATAATCCATACCATTTAAATTTATGAGGGGAATAAACTCTAAAATATATATTATTATAAGATTATGTTTAAAATGTATTAGTCGGAGCACAAGTAATTATGATACAATGCAATTATTATTATTTTTTTCATTTGTAGACCCTTATAATATGATATTTGATTAAAGTGAGAATGGAAATTGTGCATCCGAAGGTTGAACTTGTGAGGCCATCGACAAATAGGGGACTAAAACCAGGTGGGGCCCAATCAAACTGCACAAACTGACGAGATTCAAGACACGTGGCCACGTGGGTTTTTGTCGTGGTCTATGTGCTGAAATCAGAAAATCAGAAACGTGCCCTTTTGGGTTTTTTTTTTTTTTTTTTTTTTTTTGCCCTTTTCTCTCTCTTTCTTTCTTTTGTGCTAAAAACGAGTATTAGTTGGAGAATTTTTTTGTTATTATTCATACATTTGCTGTCCACGCGGTTTTGCCGTTGTGAAACACACGCTTACCCAAAAGTTTCCAAATCCAAAGGTTGTGTAATATGTGTCATTTAACACGCACAAAAGACAGGAAAAAAAAGCCTCTTTCTGTGAAGCAAAAAGAAAGCACTCGAGGGAATATAAATTCCATGGAAGGGAAAAATTTTTTTTTTTTTTTTTTTTTTTTTTTTTTTTTTTTTTTATGAATGTTATAATTAATGTGCTAATTATTAACTTATTTAAGTGTAAAAAATGTCGATTTTTGAATAGAATTTGAATGTGAAAGCGTGAGAGTAGTAGATCGTGTATAATAAAAAATTTTATAGAATATTTGAGATACTCTATAGATTATATTAATTTATACACGAATAAATTAATCTCATTAATTTATTTATCAAGAACCGGATTAAGAATTATACATAGCGACTGATTAGGATGATAACTTGAGTTATTTAACCTCGAACAATCCTCACTCCAATGCTTTGATTAGAAAACCCGAACATTCATTATCAATTCTTTGAATCCACGAAGACGTGTGCGTAAGCACACTTGAAGAAAAACGGGTCAATAAAAACACTCAAGAATTTTCACGAACACCAACGTATGCACAACGTGAAATTTTTAGAGAAAAGTTTTCCTCTCACAACTCTTGTGAATTTGGGCGACTATAGAAAAATAAGAGTAAAAATTGTGAAACACAATTTTCTATAATCTCTTTATTAATAGAGTAGTAATTGGACTCCGAAAAAGAGTCTTACTTTTATCTCCAAGATAAAGCTTATCTATTTTCTATCACTTTAAATTTGATTTTGAAACAAAATTTTCCTTCCATTATCATCATAATGGCCGGCCACCTTAAGGATAAACTCCCCCTTTGGTAAGCGCAATCCAGTGTAGGAAAATATGACAAGATTATACATTTATCTAACAGTCTAATTTTGACTCAAATTCAAATTTCAATTTAAGTCAAATGTAAATTAATTTAAATTCTAAATTGAACAACTTATCAAATAAGTTAAATGCATAATTCCAGTTCACACTGTACCTTGCACTTACACTATGTGAACACTTTCACATAAGTGATCTAAAATTTAAATTTAAATAATCACATTATTTAAATAATAATTAATTATCAATTAATTATCTTTGAGTGTTTAATTTTAGAATTTTATAATTCTAAAATTCTCATTTTGCCCTTAGTGTATTGTAGAATTACAAGGACGACGTAGGGACTCATGGATCTATAATTTCGAGCTCCAATAAAATTAATAATTAATTAATTAATCTTATTAATTCTAATAGTTACTCCATTATAAACTTGAAATTGTACTCTCGTAATTATAGACATCTGAGATTAAAATTAGAAACATCTAAAGTCTAGGGTCTAAAAGAATAAAAAAAACAAAATTTAATTTCTACAAATAATTCTTAAAATTTAGATATTTATGTTTTTGTCCCTAATTTATACTGATTTTTCCAAATATTTTAACATATAATTAACAGAATGACCGAAACAGAAACATAGGAATATATAAATCATCACTAATTGTGAGACATTTTTAAATTCAGAGAGCAAAATTTAATTAAGGGTAAACTTCGAAGACTATTTATGTGGTTAACTTTTTTTTTTGTCACTCCTTAGATGTGGTGCTTAAAATAAAGAGTATTTGTGTGGTTTCTTTTATTGGCTTATTATTGCAGTTTGATTAATGATATTGAAGGGCAACTAATTTTCTTTTTTTAAGAGAATTATGTTCTGTAAACAAATTACGAAGCCACAAAGTGATAAAACTCAACTTTTAAAATTTGATTTTTGTTTCTAAAAATTCACAAAAAAACTTTAGTTGTGTCTCCGTTTTACAATAAAAATAGAATTATTCTCCTACACTTTATAATATATCGTTGTCCTTTATTTTACGACATTATAATTGTGTTACCACTCATTAATTAAATGTAACTATATTTCAATTTAATAAAAAGCTAATTTTTATTTTATTTATAGGTTCCCTGTTTCACTGAAAAAAGTATGCCACCGTTAGTAGAATATATATACTTGCGGCACATGTCATCTTTTTCGCAGAACATTGTTAATACGTGTGTTTAACATTCAATTTATTTAAGTATGATACTTAATTTTACATGTATAAAATTATATTTTTTTAATGTTATAATTAAACAAATTGAGTATTACACATTATAAACGATCAATGTTATACGAGAATATGAAAAATATTACATTTGTTGGATTAATCAGAGTGTAAAACGTAAGACATAATCCTCAAATAATTTGCAAAACGCGTCAATTAGAAAAAGGAAAAAAAAAAGTACGAATTTTTTTATTCTTTATCATGGAAAACTCTTTTTTTTTTTTTTTTTTTTTTTTTTACTCTTAACTCCTTACAGGGTATGAATTAGCTTGCACGTGAAAAAAGTGTACCTTAGCAAGATACTGTCCCTTTGAATCAACTCTCTCATCTTTATCCAAACCTTTTAGTGAGAATGTTATTTTTGCAAAAGGTTGGATTTTGGTTTGCATGACTAATAAAACTAAAACC